GACAATGGTATATGGATGCACCGTGAAATCGTGCCTGCTGTTTTCTAGGAACCCCTCATTAAAGACGGCAGCAAAATGAAATTTATTGTGACGATGCCACATTTTATTTGTTAATGCCTATAATTAGACACAGACAAAAATGTTTCTAGCATCACATAGTTTTTGGCTCTCATTGATATCATTTTGTTTGATCAATATTTCCGCTCTGTGAACGGTACAAACGCTACCGATTCATGTAACTTCTTTCCAATGGGCGATATTTCTGTTTGATTATTCCACAAAACTCTACCATCATACATCACATTAATCACACACATCAGCCGGTATTTATGTGACATACATAACCTACGGTCGAAGCAACGAACAACCAACATTTTGAATACGTGGCTTGTATGATAATCATAAATCGAGATTAAGTACCACGAAAACTCGCTAGACGATGACAAGTGAGAACGAATGGAATTCAAATTATTTGTTGTGGTTAAATGACAATCGATAATTAATTATATAGGTAACGTGACTTACATTGATAAATTTTAAAATAACAATTTATTATTACAAAGATGAAATTATCTCTTTAGTAAGAAGCTCGATGGCGCAGGTGTTTAGAGCGTTCGGCTGTGATTGTTGCAGTTAAGCAACTTTCGCAGTGGTCGATCATTGGATGGGTGACCAAAAGTTTACTATCTCGAACTCCGCCGTGCTTCGGAAGGCATTTTAAGACGTTGGTCCCGGCTGCATCTGCAGTCGTTAACACCCACTAATCCGCACTGGGCCCGCATGGTGGCTCAGGGCCCAATCTCCCTATTCCATCCATAGAGAAGGCCTGTGCCCCAGCAGTGGGGACATTAATAGTCTGATGACGATGATGATGAAGAAAATAACCATTCAATATTGTTAATAAACCAAGGTGATTATAATTATTCAGTGTGTACATATATATTAGTTTGTAACCTAAAATGAAACAGACAAACAAATGTGTGTTCAAAATTGTGAAAAGACATGTTTTGCCGGATTGTCTGGATCGTAAAACTTTTGCTAATATGTTGAGTTTCTCCGAGTTTATATGACTGTAAAGATCCTGTATTTTAGTGACACTTAAAACTAAGTAGGTTATTGAGAAGAGATTCCTGTGTAAAACCAATTATGTTCGCCCACGCATTCGCGCGAAAATCAAATAAGACATTGCTAAGCAGAGTTAGGAAATAGTATCCGTTTGGTTATTTGTTTAACGTCGTTCATAAATAGGAATTACTTTTCAATAACAAAAACAAATGTAAAAGCAAAAATAGTTCATATTTGAACTAATATTTTCTGCAAATTATAAGCGGGATTTAAATTTTACAAAAAACTGCTCTCATGTTGAGTTACATGGTTACTCGGTGAGTTTTGAAAACGCATTCTGTATGCTGCGTGTGAGCAGTGGAACAACACGAGCACATTAAAATTCTCAAGCCTCTCCCTTGTTCTCATATCGAGCGTCAAAAGCTGTCTTCGTAAAATGCGACTAGTTAGTCGCATATCAGTCTAGAAATACCATTCGAAACTTGACTTATCAACACTACAAGCAAAGTATGATATCTATACTAATATTAAAAATACGAAGAGTTTGTTTGTTTGGTTAAACGCGCTAATCTCAGGAACTACTGGTCCGATTAGGAAAATTATTTTTGTATTCGATAGTGCATTTATCAAGAAAGGCTATGAATAACATCACGCTACGATCAGTAGAAACGGAGCATCGATTAAAATATTGCAAAAAACGGGGGGGAAATCCATTTGAGCCTTTCTGTTGCGGTTAAAGTTATGTATTACGGAATTGTTCCCTTTTAAAAGTTCTATAAAAAGTCTGTAACGGCAAATGTCCATCTTTTAAGTTTGACACACTACCTATAACCTTTTTCCTCAAATAAACGCTTGTAAACGAAATAATATTTTTTTTGTCTAGTCTTAAATTAATTTCATTATTTATGTTAGTAAATTATATGATTTATATACAATTTGTAAAAATAAATTTAATAAATACTGATATATAAAAATGCCGTTAGTATCTAATGTGTACATAATGAGTTTCTATAATTGGCCTTAAGATTGTTTGTATATTTTATTGTATTAAATCCACAAAGAAAAACACTGGGAACTTGGTTAAAGAAAAATTAATAAATCAATAAATTTTAAGCCCAATTTTATTTGACATATAATTTTTCAATATTTATTTCAAATACATATTTCAACTATTTCTGAGATGCCAGGTTGTGAAATTTAAAATACATTGTCATAGCCATCTATTCTATATCTTGCAGCATTAGCAGACCATATAAGGTGTAGTAACACTAGGATTCGGAAGCGATAGTGACAGCTCACCAGATAATCTATTGCATAAGCAAAAAAGATAACTGTGTAGCTTTGCATTAAAAATATCACCGAAGACGTCTTGTCACTATGTCAATTTTGATGTTTAATGAATGAATGAAAAAATGAAATGTCCACAGTTACACATACAGTTAGTTAGCGAAATTCTAAACAATACCAAATCATTTAAAATACCAAAAGGACTAAAGTTCCTAAATTGGAAATCATTCCGTAAAAGCGTTTCAAAACCCTGTTGTCGAACTGGCCACTCGTGACCCGGCCTGTCGCATTTTACTGCGCGCCGTAAAAAAAGGAAACGATTTAAAAAAATGTATTTTTTACTTTAAAAAGAATAAAAGGGTTATAAATATTCCTTTTTTTCTCGCGCGACCGTCACCTTATTGAGAAATGGTCGTGGCGCAAGATTTCTTACGAATAAGAAAAAGAAATTGTGTAAAGTAGGTATATTCCCTTTTTCAAAGCGAGTTGACCATCAAAAAATGTTTATGCGAATTCCAAAAAAGTTTTGTTATTACTCTCGGATTAACTTTTGGGCAAACAAATCTCTTCCAACTTATTTAGTATGGGGACGTATGAAATAAAGAAAAGCCTGTCCTTGTACTGTACAAAGTACACAATTGAATGAAAATTAACTGCTTAATACATAATATACATATTATAAAAGGTTTGTATGACTAAGTACTTAGTTAATTTGCTCTATAATAGTTTTAAGAACAAATAACGCCAGCAGTCCAGAACAAGACATGTGACAATGCATAGGTCTAACTATGGCATCGTAAGAATTTATATTGCCCATAATTGTGCCTAACGTATCATTACAAAAATAATGAAAGTCATTAATTTTCGTTAAGGACATCCCAGTTTTTTTTATAAAGCAGGTGCATTGCAACACATTTGATGATGTGAATAACGTTATTTACTAGGGTTCCGTCTGAGAAGTGCAGAAAAAAACAAATGGCATTACAACAAAATTATTAACTTTGTCCTTGTCGCTTTAAATACGTTGCGTCGTCGTCCTGCGATGAACGTTTCAATTACTAGAATGGTAGACTTTACGGGTTAATTAAAAATTTCAATGAAAATAATTAAGTATCGCATTTTTACTATTTTTAAATTCGCGCTCTTTCTGCTGGCGGTTTCTTCGTATTGCACGCCAACATAGGTAGGTAGGTTGGTAAGAACCGTGCATCTTTTTTTTGTTTTTGTCACCACAGAGTCACAACGACATCCGCTTATTTGCTACTTTTGTTTCCACAAAGCTACAACGCTACAACAAAATCTAATTCAATGTAACCTCGTTTTTAATTCATTACTTACTTGTGAGTAAAAGACTACTTTTACTTTTGTTTTATTAATATTAATAATGTTAAATTAAGTACCTAATTGCTGATTAATTATTTATTATTACATTGTGTATGACAATGAGGATAGTAATAGGAGTATAGTATAACATTTAAACAATAGAGTAACATTACATACCTACTTAATAAATAATGTTCCGAACGTTATTTTCATCTATTTGGTCACCTTGCTTATCCCTAGATGGATATTGAATAAGAATAATACATTTTAAAACCTTACCCCTCGATTACACTAAGAAACATGTCATAACCTACTAGTTTTACATAAAATTTGTTAGAATATTAGTTATGAGTATGACTGTGTTAAAACATTCTTTCATTCTTTCAGAGACAACTAATATCTTCACAAATATAGGTAAATTACTTATGTATTTACTGCACATATTTTGTTTATCCAACAAGTTTAATGCAAGTATTTGTATATCACATTGCATAATTTATACTGCTTAAGTGTGAACAAAAAATTAAGACAGTATATAATTTGTTAAATACATAGTGTATTATAATACCTTGGTGTAAACGAGGGGTTAGATACATAAAAAATATCTACTTTTTGTATAAAAGGATTTTGTTTGACTTTACCTGATTAACTTTATTTATTTAAAACATATTTTATTATCTGTTTACACATCATGCACCTGTGCAGTTGTGGTGTGCAATGTTATATTACGTTTCCGTGTTTTCGTATAGGTAGGTACAAGTATTTTTATCTACTTACTCACACAATCAATATATTTATATGCTTATTCTGATAATGTTTACATTACACGATAGAGGATTTTAATGCGTAGGTATTATAGTATTTTTTAGGTTGTGTTTGTTTCTGTGCTGGCAAAACGTATTCCACTGTGTTATATAAAAGTTATAGATAAATTCGAATGTTATGCAGGCTCATCGACAGCATGGAATGAGTTTCGTTCGAATGACTCGAGAAACCGGCGCGTGGTGTTTAGTTACAATTGAATGTTATGATTATGATACGTGCCAAGCGATGTGAACTGACGCTAGCTTATGGCAAAGTACGCCATTCACTGCCTTACCGGCACCGATAACAATGTAATTACGTTGTAAATTACACGACACACTTCGCTACATACGAACTGATAAAGTCAGGCGGGGCGACCGCGTATTGTCGCCAGCTCATAACCACAGTAGTAATGGAACTTACGGCATCATCGGGGCATATTACAAAAATACACAAACCGATCTCGGTAGCGAAATCACCGGCCACCGACCCCGGTGATGGCATAATTAATCAGAACATACCTAAACACGAGCATGGCTCACGCCAACACAACACGTAGAACACTACGTTTATCACAACACCACGTTACATACTCGTTATCACACACTGGACGCTTGCACTCGCGATTCGCGTCACACTGCTCATTATTTTGTTTATCGGGAGTTTCGTTTCGCGCGGGCCGCACCGCTTGAACGATGGCCGCGAGTGTACTGCACACAACAAAGCGCGGGAGAACGAGTCGCGCACACAGCGCCGCGCACGCACACAGTGCCGGCGGCCGTGCACCGACGGGCGCGTTAAAAAACGAACGATCGGTATGCAGACGTTCGGTTTGAGCAGGTCCTCGGCTTGACGCTGTTTTCGTCTGCGGTTCGGGGTTTCTAGGAAGTCGTTTTAAATCTCCACGATTATTATATTTCTCTGGGGTTATTTCGTTTGAGAGCTTAGTTAGGAAGGTATGTATGTGTGCGTGATTGTGTATCGTAATAAATCGGGATATAAATATATAGTACTTACCTAGGTACCTACATAATTGACCGTTGAATGTTAATCCCATGATTAAATATTTTTCCTATTTAACACATAATGCCTATACTAGTAAAATAACTTCGAATATTGTTTTAATTTAACGATAATTGTTTTCGTTATTGTTAGAAAATTGGTATTTATAAATTAAGGAACCGAAAGTCATTAAATTCATTCAGTACCGTTTTTGTGGAAGTGTGTTTGTCGTCTACATAGACAATGGACTGGACGACACTCGCATGAAATTAATAACTCAACCGATGCCACACTTATCTACCTACTTTTAAATTATAACAGCTGTACAGGGATCACTTAGTCCGCACACTATGTCTATTATCAAAATTTCTTGTAGTTAGTTATTCTTATAGAGAAACCATACAAAATACTTGTTTGATTTCTCAAAGCAATTTAGAACTTTGAGGTGAACAACGAGTGTGAGTTGGTGAATTTATTTTGGTAAACGTTACAAATCAAGTATTTCAAAACTCCTCACCCGCATTATCCAATTCCCGGGGGGAAAATCTACTTGTGGCAACATTAAAAACAAAAGAACGGCAGTCAGCGAACCTTGAGTGGGCAGGCGATACGATTCGAGCCTGCGCCCGAGTCAGCGCGCCATATTGCCGGCGGCACGACGGAGACAACGCTCTACTAATGTATTTGCCTCTCGCTTGCACGCTTGTTAGCGTTATTGCGTGCCCGTAACTATACTCGTCAACGACTGTGCCACACACCCACACGCATGTATTGTTATCTTACACAAAATTTATAACGAGTAAAGTCGGATTTTGTCTCAGCGCGGACACTCCTAAATTCTTTGCGGAAGGATTTGTTTTTTTTCTGACGCCTCCGGGCGGAATAAAATTATAATGGTGGATACAGTTTGTTTTGCGCGATTCGGCTTGTTATTTTGGCAACACTGATAGTGTTGGCGGGCTGATTGCACGAGTTGTGAATGAACGTTGATGAGATGAATAAGGAAGCGAGTGGAGACATTTTAGTATTTTGGCGCGTATAGTCACATTCTTATGTAATATATAGTGGAATGGTATCAGCTATCTAGCTGAATGTGTGTACCTAAACATGTCGTTCTTGAGTTTAGCCTTGCGAAGGATATAATGCATTTTGTCTTAAAATAACTTCATCATCTTTTTCAGCCATTCAGCCTATAAAATAACGATAATGTCCCCACTGCTGGGGCACAGGTCTTCCCCTTGGATGGAATAAGGACATTGGCCCTTGACATGATGCACCACTACTGGTGCCCAGTGTGCATTGGTGAGTGCTAACGACTGCAGATGCAACCGAGACCAACAGCTTAACATGCATTCCGAAGCACGAATGAGCTCGAGATAATAAGTTTTTGGTCACCCATCTAATGAGCAACCATTGCGAAAGCTGCTTAACTTTAACAATCGCAGGCCGAATGCGCTATCCACCTTTGCCATCGAGCTGCTTGAAAATAACTTCTAGTTTGTGATATTAATAAATGTAAGCAACTTAATTTAACTAAATTAATATTTGTATATTTGAAAACAGGTATTTTAAAATGTGACTTCACTATCCAATTACACATAGCTCCTAGACTAGCCGCCAGCAGCTATGGTGTTAATTTTATCGATTCTAAGGCCCCGTTGTTTCATCGACAGTAAAATTTGGCTATAGTTAAATAATATATAAAAAAAATCTTTTTTTCACAAATTTTACACATTTTACTATGTATTTGACGTGGCACTTTACTCGTAGTTAAAGTGATTTTAATATAATTAACTGGCCCCGCTTGGACAGTCATCATCATCATCATCATCATCATCAGCCTATTAATGTCCCCACTGCTGGGGCACAGGTCTTCCCTATGGATGGAATAGGGAGATTGGGCCATGACCCACCACGCGGGCCCAGTGCGGGTTGGTGGGTGCTAACGACTGCAGATGCAGCCGCGACCAACGGCTTAACGTGCCTTCCCAAGCACGGAGGAGCTCGAGTTAGTAAATTTTCGGTCACCCATCCAATATCCGACCACTGCGAAAGTTGCTTAAATACAACGATCGCAGCGGAACGCGCTAACCACTTGCGCCATCGAGCTCCTCCTGGACAGTCACCACTGTTAAATTATGACTTCATTTTGACTATCGTCAAATGGTGCAATCCATTTTTTACCTAACCGGTACTTAAACTAACAGTTAAAGTAAGTTAGTGCAACTTACGCTAAAATTAATAGGGGAGGCAGGCATTGTTTTTCATACAAACGTTCTTTACTGTTTCCTTCATGATTTTTATCAATAAAGAAATGATTTACATACAAGAAATATAATTTTACTCATTCTATGCTCCCATGTCTTCCCTTTTTCGATAACTTGTGTTACAAAGAAATTAGAAGTCGTCAAAAATTACAAAAATAAACGATTTTTTATCACCACTAAAGACGCCTGGTCTGGAAATTCAAGAAGCATTGACAAGAAAGCAAAACATAGAGGCCTAGTATAACTTGTTATGCTATGCCCTATATGGGTATTTTTTTACATAAATCTAATTTCCGTACCTACCGTACGGCATTTACCAATGCCCGACAGCAATAGCTTTTTCAAATACCTATTTCTCAAATGTCTCTCAGCTCGCGTCCGCTCTTATGTAGGGCCCGAAATGTACAATATAGATACAAATATGATATGATATATATAGAAATGCTCGTCTTTGGGTGTAGTGGAGTTGGCTCACTTTGCAGAGGCCAGAAGCGCTTGGTCTAGGGCATGACCGGGAGTGGATCCACCAACCTCTCTATCTTCTCAGAGACAGTGGGACAAGCCGCTCTGTTTGCGTTTTCAGAGGGATCTTTTAACTTCTTCTGAAAACACCACTCAGTGCTAATGACGTCATGAATCGACGCTATACTGGTGAATTGTTCCGAAATATACTAGCCAGTGCACTGACGTCATAAATCAACGAAATATTAAAAATAGTGCGAATAAAGATTTTTTATTCACCTCATCAATTAAAAGGAATTCTTTTTGATCGGATGCCGTTATTTGGATGCTTCTCCGCCATACGTCATATTCGTTTTCCCGGTAAAAATATGGTAGCATTTCGGTCACCCATCCAATATCCGACCACTGCGAAAGTTGCTTAAATACAACGATCGCAGCGGAACGCGCTAACCACTTGCGCCATCGAGCTCCTCCTGGACAGTCGTCACTGTTAAATTATGACTTCATTTTGACTATCGTCAAATGGTGCAATCCATTTTTTACCTAACCGGTACTTTAACTAACAGTTAAAGTAAGTTAGTGCAACTTACGCTAAAATTAATAGGGGAGGCAGGCATTGTTTTTACATACAAACGTTCTTTACTGTTTCCTTCATGATTTTTATCAATAAAGAAATGATTTACATACAAGAAATATAATTTTACTCATTCTATGCTCCCATGTCTTCCCTTTTTCGATAACTTGTGTTACAAAGAAATTAGAAGTCGTCAAAAATTACAAAAATAAACGATTTTTTATCACCACTAAAGACGCCTGGTCTGGAAATTCAAGAAGCATTGACAAGAAAGCAAAACATAGAGGCCTAGTATAACTTGTTATGCTATGCCCTATATGGGTATTTTTTTACATAAATCTAATTTCCGTACCTACCGTACGGCATTTACCAATGCCCGACAGCAATAGCTTTTTCAAATACCTATTTCTCAAATGTCTCTCAGCTCGCGTCCGCTCTTATGTAGGGCCCGAAATGTACAATATAGATACAAATATGATATGATATATATAGAAATGCTCGTCTTTGGGTGTAGTGGAGTTGGCTCACTTTGCAGAGGCCAGAAGCGCTTGGTCTAGGGCATGACCGGGAGTGGATCCACCAACCTCTCTATCTTCTCAGAGACAGTGGGACAAGCCGCTCTGTTTGCGTTTTCAGAGGGATCTTTTAACTTCTTCTGAAAACACCACTCAGTGCTAATGACGTCATGAATCGACGCTATACTGGTGAATTGTTCCGAAATATACTAGCCAGTGCACTGACGTCATAAATCAACGAAATATTAAAAATAGTGCGAATAAAGATTTTTTATTCACCTCATCAATTAAAAGGAATTCTTTTTGATCGGATGCCGTTATTTGGATGCTTCTCCGCCATACGTCATATTCGTTTTCCCGGTAAAAATATGGTAGCATACCAGTACAATATGGCGTCGGATTCGTGACGTCATTACCAGTGGCCAGTATACTGATGTATATTTCGGAATACACCCCTTGTCGCAGTCAACGTGCCAGCGGTCCTTGAGCCTAGCGGCATCTTTCGTGACGATGGCAAGAGACCTGACGGAATGACGCTCATTCCGTGGAAGCAGGGTCGCCCTCTTGTGTGGGACGCAACTTGCGCGGATACGCTTGCTCCGTGCCACACCCACACAGAGAGCACCTCCCTTGCTGCGGGTGCGGCGGCGGCCTCTGCTGAATGCTCCAAACGGCGCAAATATTCAGCTTTTAATGAGAACTATATATTTGTGCCGTTTGGTGTTGAGACCATGGGCCCATGGGGTCCAAGCGCTCGTTCCTTTTTTAAGGAAATATCAAAGAGACTCACCGAAGTTACTGGTGATCAAAAGGCTGGCAGCTTACTTGCCAACGGATCAGCCTTGCCCTTCAACGTGGCAATGCTGCCAGCCTATTGGGCACCATCCCTGACAGCGGCGCTGGGGGTGACTTATTTTATATTTTGTAAATAAGATGTTATTTATAAGTAGGTTAAAGAACTTTGTATTTAAATTTTA